CATCTTCGCGCGGTGAATTAAGAGAGGCTCACAGCTAGACTTTGTTTTGGCAATTCCCGTTAAATCGTCATCTTAGAGATGGGGCAGGCTAAATATAATTCTTGCAATGCATCCAGTGTATACAGCATGGGATACTGTAACACTAGAGTATGTCTTTCATTGTTTCAATTCCAACTATACCTCAGCTTACAAAGAAAGGTTATCTTGGAAATGTAAAGTCAAAGAACTGCGAAGCTGTTACTAGCTGATAATCTTTTGCTGTAGACAATGACTGTGAGATAGTTCAGTATCATTTAAACTGTTATTATGTCACAGAGTAGAGGCGCAGCAATACTAATATGAAGCCTGAGATGAACATTATACCGGGGCCGCTTTTTAGGCGTGTCAGAGCATTCATATAAATCTGTTCTGGTTGCTCAGCGCTCTGCAGGAGGCTCTGCGTGTTCCTGAAGCCGACCCGTGGCCAGGTTTATGTGTTTGGAGTTTCAGCAAGTGAGCAAATCCTGTTCTAGCAAGGGTGAGGAGGGCAGTGCTCTCTAATCGGATTGTGACTAACTGTGAATATGAAATCAACCGTAGAACTCTCAGAGAGCTACTCTGTGATTCATCACTGGCCTTCACAGAATCGCTGAAAACTTTTCACCAAGGGGCTTGTCTGTTTTCTCTCGGAGGTGGTCGATCGTATTCAAGCGAGTAGAGTACTCTGTCTCACCAGCATACTACATGTATGGCTGCCTACATTAAGACAGATGCCCATAGATGCTCGGCTTATACTGAGGCAGCAATTAAGAAATATATATATATAATTACTATGCGTTTTTTTATCCCGCCGTGGGATTTTGTGTCCTTGGATGAACACGCCCTTCTTGTGGTTTTGTTCCTAAAAGCCACTTCAGCTTGTTAAATGTGAGGCTGGCTGCAGAGTACTAAACAGGGTTCTTACGCGTCATTTAAAACCTGGAAAGTCATGGAAATTCAAAATGCACAATTCCAGATTCTGGGAAAAGTTATCGAAACAATATTTTTCATGTCATGGAATGTAACTAACGTTGCATCAAATGTAATCTTAAATCTTATCTAATGCGAAATAGTAATTACTATAATGATAAAATAAAATACTGTATCGTATATGTAATGAAACGTAAAATGTCATTTTAACTGTTGAGGTATTTTGCCTGGTGAGAGATTGTAGTTGCTTTAGCCGTGTAGAAGCTAGTAGGCCTATTTGATTTGTTTTAGATGGGCGCACAACATGTTGTTCATATGTATGACCTTATTTTTCCTGTTCCATGTTCAAATAAACCATTTTCAGTGGTTACGCTGAGAAAAGAGTCATTTTTTTGGTCATGGAAAATCAGGTAAGGTCATGGAGAAGTCATTTGAAAAATCATTGGGTGAAAAGTGTAACGACCCCTGACTAAAGAGCAAGGAAGAGTGTATAACTCTGTGAAGGGTCCGTGTTCAGATTAACACTCTTCAGAACACAGGATAGTTTGAGTCAAATATTTTTTTTTAAGAATCGGTCTGAAATAAAACCTTGAGACTGTTGTTGCCAGAGGTGGGAGAAGCAGAGTCCTGCATCGGGTCGGGTATCCGGCGGGTACCCGACGGGTGACCCGCAAAAAAGGTGATTTCGCGGGTGGTATTTTTTCAAACGCTTTTTTCCGGGTTCGGTTCTGGGTAAAACAAAGATGATGCGGGTCGGGTTGCGGGTGTTGCATAATAAATATATTTAAATAATAATAATTTAGTTTAATGTTTAAATCCTCAGACCTCTCCCCCTCGGGACCGCGCATAATCATAACCTCTGCAGCGCATCAATCTGCTGCTGAGCGCGCCACATTCGAAATGGCTGAGGTGAAGCTCTCTAGCGAGAATACAGCCTTTTCAATAATACTTCCTCAAGAGCGAAATCCAACGTCTGGGAGGCTTTTGGTGTCATCCTAGATGCAGAAAATAACCAACATCCCAGGCTTTTTGAGCCAAATATGCAACTGTGTGTGTTAATAATTGTACGTTTTCACTGCTTATATATATGCGGGTTCGGGTCGGGTTGCGGATCCTGTGCCGACGGGTCGGGTCGGGTTGCGGAACTAATTGGCAATATGTGCGGGTAGCGGGGCGGGTTCGGTATTGCACGTCGCGGGTGCGGGGCGGGAGCGGGTCTTGAAAATCAGACCCGTGCAGGACTCTGGGGAGAAGTACTCAGATCTTGGACCAAAAGTAAAAGTACTCATTATGCAAATTGGTCAATTTCAAATTCATGAAAAATACGAAATTCTTTTAAAAATACTTTTATAGGGTAAGAACTCATCACAAACAAACGATTAGTTTCATATAAGAAGGATTTTTAAAATGAGTGTATCTGCAGCAGGTTTCAGCTCACTGACTTTGATCCTGTTTCATGTTTTCAGGCTTTATGACGCGTACAGTTTCCAGATGATCCCAGTTTTGGGAGAGGTGATAGCTGGAGACTGGAAGTCTTACCAGTATCTGGTAGAAAGCATCCGCAAGTTCCCGGACCAGGTAAGAACCTTTTTCTTTTCTTCAGTCTACTCTTTTCTACCATTGCTACTCTGATTTGATTCAACTCCAGTTGGGGGTATTTCATAAGAAATGTTATCACTTTCTGATTTTAATGGTTTGATTTAGGATATGTGCACTAATCCAGATGTTAAATGTAATACCTTTTTAATATTTTAAAGACCTTTTGCTAAGTACATTTTAAGGTCAGATAATGGGCAAAAAATCGTAGTGATCTTTTCTTTTTTTTAAGGACAAAACTACTGAATAACTGAGTCACTGTATGTTTCCTTAGGTTCATGTTTTTCAAGCTGTCTGCAGTGTAACTTGTGGACTCACTGTCATTTCCTTTTCTTCTCTCCTGAAGGAGGATTTTAAAGGTATGATTGAGGACGCAGGTTTCTACTCTGTGAAGTACTACAACCTCACCGGTGGAGTCGTGGCTCTTCACTCTGGTTTCAAGCTGTGAGATGCACTCCTCTGGAAAACAGAAGCAAAAAGACTGGCTCTGTGTTTCACACTTCTCTGTCTGTATTTCAAACTGTGCAGAGTTCTCAGACATGAACGTCAGAGCTCCTCTCTCAGCAATGACTGCACCATGAGAGAAGCATTTCGGTGGACATATTTATTTCCCTGCTGATGGTCTTGGTTCAGCAACGATTAGACTGTACTAAATACCTTTGTTGGTAAAGAATGCTGCACTGATAACCTAAATGTCACTATATTTGTGGTATCAGTGTTAAGGCTACTAGCAAGTGAGTTTATGTGCAGCTTTTTTCAAATATTTTGATGTAATATCTACATTTTGGCTACAAATAAAGAATGTTTAAAAGGATCTCTGTACCTGAATGGATTATTCTCAAAGCAATGTATTTCTTCTGCTGTTAAAACAATAATGTGAAATGCAGGTAATGGAAAGGAGGATACATCACAGGAGATACTGGAATACTTTGGACATGGATTTGGATCAGAGAAGATCTAATTGTCCTGATTGTAATTACGATGAATATACAACGCCTCCATGGAATTTTCTCGAAATGAAAAGCAACCGAATAACTCAAATGTTCTATTTTATGTGAAATAGAAAAATAGAAAAAAACAACATGCAATGAAAATATGCAAACATTATTATTTTAGCACATTTTCAATATACTTTACTAGGTTATTTTTTCTGACAGTTTAGAATTAGTGTTCTACGTAGTTTTTGCTACTTCTTGACTTACTAAACTGTCATTATTGGTATTTCTTTTTTTGCATAATATATTACATATTTTTTCTCGATGTTTCTCTGTGGTGTGTTCTGATATTTTCAACACTGTCGTTTTTTGCATAATTTCAAAATACAATACTGTTTTCAACGTACTATACTATGCTGTTTTTAGCATATGTTTCTCATACTATATATACACAATGTCTTTTCTTTTACACATTTTTGACAAACAATTATACGTTTTAATTTGTTTTACTATTTTCTATAAACTATACTACTGGTTCTGTGTTTCACGCTTTTCTGTCCAACTGCCAAACTAAAGCCCCAGAGCTCCTCTCTGCAGCAATGACAGAAAAACATGTCCGACATGAAGAGTGAACATATTTTCCTGGGTTCGGTTCAGCGACAGAAAGCAATCCCAAAATGCCTCTATATTTCTGGTATCAATGTTAGGACTACTAGCAACTGAGTTTAGTTTAGAATATTTTTAGTTTAGTTCTGTAACATCTCAAAGTGTTTAAAAAGTTGATCTCGGTATCTGAATGGATTCTTCTCAAAGCTACGGAAGGCAAAGATTTTGTTCTTATGATAAAACAATGTCAAAATGTGAATGTGAAGTGCAGGTAATAAAAAGGAGGACACCACAACATGAGTTACTTGAATAAAACTGTATATTTTACAGATCTTTGTACACTTTAATTACAAAACTGTATGGTACTAAAGTTTTAAAATCAGTTTTTTGGTCAGAGAAGATTTAATCGTCTTGTGTGCAATTACCATGTATATACAAAGTCATGTTAGTGATTTTTCTCAAAATAAAAAGCAACCAAATAACTCAAACGTTCATACACTCTGAACATAAGACATGGCTTAAAGATAAATATATTAGTAAATAAATATTCAGAGAACATTTCCATTTATGAAATGTGTTTGCTATACAGGTACAGAAATATACACAGATTGATTTCTAGCCTTTTTCTTTAAAACATTTGTAATGGTAGTGACAGAGAATAATTATATTCTTAAAAAATTAAAAAATATTAATTTTTGTACACATTTTAAGTGCTAGAAACGATAACAAAAAAATTAAATAGTGACTCAAGTACCCAAAATGTTATATTTGCAGTAGGTACATATCTCTATGCAAAAGGCAAGATTAGATTCTCACTTGATTACAGCACTGGGTTAACTTATAAATAGGGTTATTCAGAAAGTCTTCCTCTGTGTAGAGAATGTGTGTATTTCATAGAAACAGTATAACAACAGTCTGCAGGACAAACAGAAAGGCATGAATGACATGCATTGATATCGCGAGTATGTATTATGCATGGCACGATATGATTCAAACAGATACACTGGTATTTATAACTGCATTGTTTAAAAAAAAAAAAGTCACAGTAAAATAAGGAACCCTTTTGAAAAATGAGTCTTTTCCAGCCACTTTCCTTTGGCCTTTTGATACATACTAGATATCTTTTAGAGCATGTCTCATTTAGGAAATTGGGTAAGTGACAGCAAAAATACACTTTTATGGGCTTCCAAACAAAAAGTAAGAGTGCAACACTCTGCTTCTGAAAAACATCTACTGACCCAGAGACACTGCCACTTCAGACAACCCAAAGAGGCGCAGTGTCTTTTAGATATTGCTACAAACAGCTTCCCAGCGTAAGGCTTCCATGTTGCTCTGGCACATTTCATACAGGTAGGCCACTGCTGGACAGAAATGCAATGCATAAACAAATTCTGTATTAATATTGAATAGACACCAGTGTCAGCCTTGCATTCACATTTCTATGCATTTTTCTGTAATATATAGCTTCTTCTCCTCAGAGAAATGTGTGGGTCACAGACACTTAAAAAGGACCCATTTCCCTGCTTTTGACAAAAGTAAAAGAAAATAAAACAATCAAGTCTTTCTGTTTTGGTATAGCTATGTCCGTACAACCTATTCGAGCTGGTGGTTGAAGCTTTATAGGCAGTCAGTGTTTATGCGTGCACCTATACATGTAGATGTTTGTGAATTAAGGGTGATCTTTTTGTGGAGAAAAAAAAAAGGCAAATTCCTAGATTTTGCAGAAAAGATATAGAAACTAAAATCTCTTAAGAAATGGGCCCAGATTACTTAATTACCCTTGATGGCAGCAGATAGAAACCAAACCAACCTACTTCTAGTTTCAGTCCATCTATATTTGTAGTTCCACTTTGTCTCAGTGCTATGAAAACATGGTGCTGAGATGTTTCATGGCCACAGGAATGAACTTGACACACTGTCTAGAAATGACAGGCCATTTCAGTAGAAATCCACACAATCGAAGATGATAACATTCAGCGCTCAGAGAGCACGGTTACAACAAGGCAGCTGAGGGTTTCAATGATTGACTGACAGATTCGGTACCAAATACATACTTCAGACTGAGTCCCATCTCACTGGGCTCTAAATTCATATACCCAGACCCCCCTCATTTGATGGTGTACTGCTCCCCAAAGAAGCTGGGCTGGCAGAGAGCTGAGGGTGAAACAAAGCCCTGGTCTCCTCCTCCAGAGGGTACGACTGACCTCTAAATTGTCCAGAGGTAAAATACCTCTCCCTGGGCTCATGTTGCTCTGCTGTCCGCCCCTCTGCCTCCACTGGGACATTAATGGGTAATAAACTGCTTTGGGTCTCTGCCCCTGGGCACAATTCACAATCTGTGTCCTCCGGAATTATGGGTATTCTCTGGTTGAGTTCGCAGCAGCCCTGCCCGGAACAGGCTTCCGAGTCTGCGTACTGCACATTAACAGCGTAGTCCTCGGCGTAGCGCCCCCCCGCGGCCCTGTGCACCTTCAGCTCTTTGTAGAAGCAGCAAGGCAGCCCTTCGTAGCTCACCTGCTCCGAGGGGGGGCACAGGTGCTCGGGGGCAAAGTAGTTCTTGGAGGAGGCGCTGTGAAAGTCCATCCCCCTGTGAAAGCGTCCTGAGGTCAGAGACCCAGCTTGGTCCGAGTCCTGCCCTTTGCACTGCACATTGGGAGGGGGCCCCTCGAAGCAGCAGCTACAGGCTGCAGCCCCGAGCTCCCCCGACTCCTCCTGTGGCCCCTTCCCCCTGTCTGCTCTCGGGGGCTCTGGAGCCCCGGCTGAGGTAGTGCTAGTGTTGCTGTTCTCCCTGGGTTCCAGTGATGAGTGACTGCTGTAGTTGGGCTCCAAGCTGCAGTTGGAGAGGTGGTCCCCCGAGTTATATCCTGAAGCTCCGGGGGGGAGCTGCAGGCAGTCGTGTCCCAAGGGAACAGGGGATGAGGAATCCTCAGCAGGAGCTGTGGCACACGCCGCAGCCCCGGCCTCCCCCACAGACCCCCTGCATGGACTCTTACTCCGGTACACGTACGGATCGTAGTCGCTGCTCAGCGAGCTGCGGAAAGTGGAGCAGCTGCCGTACACTCCCTGGTTGCTGACCTCAGTACAGTCCAACATGGAGTCGCTGGAGGAACAATGGCACTGACCCGAGCTGCTGCTGCTGCTGTCGCTGCCAGGGCAGTCGGCAAGGTAACCACTGCACACCGAGCGGTGACCGTGGTAACAGTTCAGGCCAGAAGTGCTGCTAGTATCACCGATTCTTGTAGCAGAGGCTGGTGCCATGTGCACCACAGTGGGGTATAACAGACCCTGCTGGAAGGCCCTGCTGTGTTGGCCCTTATGGGCCCCCCCTCCTCCACCAAGCTGCCCTGCCATAGTAGGCCCCTGGCCCCCCTCGGGCTGTTGGGGGAAAGTCAAACCCTGAAAATAGTAGTGCTGGTACATAGTCTCGTACTGCGAGAAGCACGCTGCTCGGGAAAAATTTCGACCATGGAACTTTGGCCGTTTGAAAGCACCATGATGCGGCTGTGCTGGGTAGGCGGGGGGGCCGCGGTGCTCTAATCCACAGTGGTGGGGGTTGACCGAGTGGTCCAGATGGAGGGTGGGGTGGTAGCTCCGCAGAAAGGCGGATGTTGATTGGGGGGTGTACAGACCCTGAGGATCTGGGTGCTGGTCCACGGTCAGCATGGTGATGGGGTTTCCGTGGGGGTCCATGCTGGTTCTGGTTGGGTAGGCGGTCACCTGGCCGGCGCGGTGCACCCTGCCGGGGTAGTGGACCGGCAGCACCACCCGCTGCCGGCTGTGCACTGGGTTGCCGGGGTCCATGCAGGCCGGTCCTGGATTCCCCTTCTTTTGCTCTGAAAAATAACAGCATATCCTCATGAATGTCTCTGTTGTTTCTCAGTGTATCTTTTTTTGTGTTTGTATGTTTTTTTTCTGTTGATGACAAAGAGTGTTTTATCTGAACATCAAAGCTAAATATTGTCTTACCGATGATGTTGTGTCTACAGTGGGGGCAGGTGTGATGCTGGAGCAGCCAGGGGTCCACACATTTCTTATGAAACCTGTGAGCACACGGGATAACTCGCAGCTCCTGTGGGGGGAAACACATCAAAGATACAACTGTCAGATACTACCGTAATGTAATACACAAATAACAATTGTTTCACACTTTTTATCACAATGGAACATAATGTATACAAGTAAGTTAAGTATAACAATTAATAATGATAATTTACGTGTCAATTAACTCTCTGCCTAAAAGTGAAACACATTTAAACGATGGTGTAATTTCAGGATTGATGAATTCCTGCAACTCCCAAAGTTACCAAGTTGTTACATAAACAATTCTCAGTTAAGTAACAAACGTCCACAAGGTGGCAGCAAAGCTGTACAGAGCTGTCAACTGTAGTGAATTGATTAACATTTTACCTCTGAGTAATCTAATTCATATTATGCCAAAAACAAGACCCTTAACAACAAGTCACACAATGGTACAAATACAAGTCTGTCGTCAATGTCACCACTTTCTGGAACAAAACAAACAAACGGCTAACACTGGAGGATTGATATGAAAGGAATGCAACACTTTGTATTCAGACGGAGAACTGGCATGGAGGAATTCCAGGATGATAGGAGGAGCGGTATGAATTATTATATTCCTCTCCTCTGAAAGCTCTCACTGCCATTAATACTTTATTCTAAGGTCGATGTGACTCATCTTTGGGCCCTCTTCCACCCAGGCTTTTGTTGATACACTGCTGAAAAAGCGCTTTGATGCCATTCAGCCTTTTATATTGCCACTTCCTCTGTGCAAGCCTGGCGCCACGCTTTGTTGTGATTTCTTCCCCTCCTCACCGAAGAGACACATAACCACAAAAAAAAACCTTACACATACGCCAACTATGTCCCCCCCCCGGGCACTGGGGTTTGTCCCCATAGCGAAGATGAACAATGCTGTTGACAATGACTCCTTAAAAAGATGAAAAGAAAGCCACATTTGGGAAAACAGGAAGCATAATCACAACCTAATGCACTCTGGGTACCGTTATCTCTCCAGGTGCTCTCAAAGACTGAACTAAACATCTGAAAAGGCGCCGGAAAGAGCGTCACGGAGGATCGCGGTCCCCGAGCACATCAGGGGAACTTCCATTCTATTGTCCACATAACTGCATTATGTTTCATGTCTACAGAATATAAAGGAAAGAAAACAAGCACAGGTGGACGGTGACCACACTAACACTGCCACCAAAGTTGTCTCTCCCTCATGGTCCACTTATGCTCTAGAGTTTGGATAAACAGCCGCTCACGTACATTATCTCCGAGTTGCTAAGAGAAATTGTAATCAGTTTTTGTTTAGCTTTTTAAAAAGTTTCATTCTTGTTTTTGATTGGATTTCACAATCATGGTCCCAACAGATACAAATAAAATAAGGTTCACCACAGTTCACAATAAACAAGATCCTTATAAAATGTGTATGGTAAACCAAAAATTAAACAAAATACAAGATAAATAACGCAAACAAGATGTAGTTTATGCTCATTATAAGAGTTTAATCGCAAAATATGAAATCACAAAGTATTTGGGACTTAAATAGTGTTTTGGTAACTATTTACACTAACATTTTACCAGGACTTTAAAACCAAACATCTCTAGACTGCCTTTTGTTATGTTATGTTTGTTTATACTGCTGTTCTTCCTTCTAAAGCGACCTTGGGTATTATGAAAGGCGCTATAAACATCCAAGTTATTATTATTATTATTTATACTGAAACATTATTATTAATATTTCTCTCCAAGAGCCTGACAAAGCCATAACACTTTACCGTTTTTGAGGTACCCTTTTCACTAAGTTGGGGTATTATCACGGTTTTTAATGTTTTGTTGCATTGGCTACCAAAACATGTGGACTGGCTAAAAGTTCATTTCGAAATAGTATACTTATATGTGTACATATACAAAAAGAAAGGTATTAATGTGAGAGCTAGCATTGCAACCCGTATTGAAAAAATAGTTGATGGCAATACCATTATACCGTCTGTCCTCAAAGCAGATAAAGTCTCTATATGAGCTCAAAGGACGTAGCATCTTTTCTTACCTCCCCATCGATGTACTTTTCTAGACAGATGGCGCAGTCGGAGGTGGAGCTGCTGCTCAGAGAGTCGGAGGCTCCACAGCTGCTCTCGCGCTGGCCCTTTCCTTTGGCCTTGAACTTCCTCGTCTCCATCTTTTCCAAGGCTTGGATGGCCATTCTGTTCATGGAGCTCTGTGGTGGGGGGAGGGGGGGGGGTGAGGTACAGGTTCAGCGTGGATTATGAGACCCACAAACAAGGCATTTAAATGATAACACTAACAGTGTAAAGTCCACTCAGAGAGGATGTTTCGGGGTAAAAAAGCCATTACATTTCCATGCGCCAATGTTGGCAACTTTTTAACCGTGTTCTTCTTTGATGATGTTCAAAGGCTCCTATTATGCACATTCTGAGGTTCATAGTTGTATGTTGTTCCTTCCTCTACTGTGACATGTTTACATGCTTTAATATTCAAAAAGCTCTTTATTTTGTTCATACTCTCTGACATATTCTGTCTGGAACCAGAGCCCAGTTCTCTGATTGGTTAGCTGGCCGGCTCTGTTGTGATTGGTCAGCTTAGCTTAAAAACGTACAATGTGCTGGAGCACTAGCCAATAGAAGCACAAGTGTAATGTAGTGATGTCACTATGTTACAGGAGTAAACAAAGGACTACAATCAAGGCGTTTCAGGCAGGAAAGGGGGGGGGGGGAGAGAGAACTTGGGATTTTAACCTTAGCAGACCATTTACATACACAAAAACCTATATAACACACTACAGAGAAGAAAAACCCCCAAAAGCATAATAGGGCCCCTTTAATGACAGAGGGTTACATTTGTCATGATTAGACATGTTCCCCATTGTCACATTACATCATTGTGCAATGTTTCACTGATGCTTTAGCAACGCTCTCTGGTTCTCCACTCTTTTTATCGCTCATTTGTTTTGTGTTGCCTTCAAAATATAACTTAGTGATTGATGAAAGTTGCCACATGCAGAACCACTTTTGAGGATTAAACTAAATGATTCACATGTGTAGCAGAAATTGGGACATAAAGCAGTAAACCAGAGTTATGTGTGTGTAGGCTTTACTTAAAGGAAGGAACGCTCTCCAGGGTCTTTTTCTTGCTGCCTCACAACGAGATAATTGAAGTCTTTGTAAGTTAAAGAGCAATGAACTTTGGCATGAAAGCCAATCTCATCACAGGGTTAAAAAAAATAGAACATGAGGTAATCTGTATGTTCAGTTTGTAATTAACTGCAGTGTTGTGAGGGCAAACCCTGGAGGAAACCTTAGATAAACCCCAAACTATTCCACTTTTAACAGTCAAATTAGAGAGGACATGTTAATACTGTATTAACAATATTTACACTACAAGATGTTAATTACATTTTCCCATTTCAGGGAGGAAAGGTTGTTATAATGTAACAAACCCCTCTGGTGTGAGCTGCTCTCTTAATTAACCACCAAAGGAAGTCATCGGCTGCTGTGCCACAAATTACACACACACACAGAGAAAGAAAGTGTCTTTACACACGTGTGCTGACGGGATTACACCGGATGCCGCTACAGTTTTTCTGCTCCGTCATGACACCTCTGTGTTTTTTGTCCCAGCGGCCAACTTCTCATCAGCCCTAATTAAATGCTAATCCTGATTCATGCGCCCGGACATAAGCCTCCACTGAGAGCTTTTAGTTAACCATCGAGAGGAATCAATCAAAATGGTTGCTACCGTCACCCAGCTCAGGTAGAGTCACGCTGCGTGGAAAAACACGGCATTGGTTTGCGTGTTTTGTGTCACATCACTGTTTTTGTGACTCAAACTTGCTTTGTGATGAGTGTGTGTTCTGACACTGACCTGGCTTCTCCTTTGCTTGAGTTTGATCTTGATGAGCAGAATGAGGCACACCAGCGACACAACCACGAAGAAAGCCAGGAAGATGCCCATGTCGAAATATTCTGTGGGCTGCTGTGGAAAAAAGAGGGCAAGAGAAACACATTTGTCAAATTATCTTCACATGCAGTCGTTAAAAATTGGTTATTTTGCCATAATGTTGCATTTTCCATCAAGGATGTTTGATTAGAACTTAGTTAGTTGCTCATTAGAGCAGACCACTCACTGATGTGACTCGTTGAACATGTTATTAGGCAAATACAAATAAATAAAAAGGACTTTATGGAATAAATAGACGATTTAATGTGATTTAATCATTGCCGTGTCTTTTTTTTTGTTGCTATTGTGTCAATTTAAGACTGTCGGATGTAGTCACAACTACATCTCTCAAACAAACAAGACAACTCTGCAGATTGCAGCAAAGACCCTTCAATACAAAGCTTATCGGCAGAAGGGGTTTGTTTGTCAAGGATTTGTCATTTTTCAAGCAATGGTCATAGTTTCTCAACTGGGAGGATTTACTTGTAAATTAAATACATTTGGGTTTTGGAATGTTGGTTGGTTGAAACAAGCTAATTAAATGCTTAACTCCGTAGATTTCACTTCTTTTCGCTCATTAACAGACTGATCAATTGCCAGTTCATTTGATAATTAGATCATTATTTGAGGCTTTATTTACTTGAAAAAGCAGAATTTGCATCTTTGCTTTTTGCTGAGATGAGTCCGATAACTTGTGGGGATAAACACTTTTATTAAAGACCCAGCTAAGATTAGCCAGATTGTTGTTCTCATCAAAACAACTTCTCTCAGGCTTTCATTATGTCAAGTTATTTGACCTCCAAGTGCTGGTCCTTTTATCGAATATTTCTAAGCAGACAAATAGTTCTTTGAATGGCTGATATGTATCTCCCTCAGTGCCTCTGGGAAACGGATAAGAAAGACAGGGTCAGATTTCACAGCTGGAACTTTTGATTGTCTTCACATCCTAAAAAACTTCTCTGTGCTGATCGCTGCTTGGGCCTCACAAACATGTTCACCTTGTCCTCATGTTCCTCACATGTGCCTTAGATTAGTGTCACACACATGCACGTCATCTACATGGAGTGTGGTTTTGGCATGTGCTCTTACCCTCGGTGGTCTGTGTTGTATCCGAGCGCGGGCCACTTTCTGCTTGTTGACAATGTTCATCAATTTGACGGCGTCATTGCCCTTCACGTAAACCACGGGCCGCTTCAGAGGATCCTCTGCAACCTGGTTCAGCTGAACAGAGGGAAGAAGAAAGAACTACATCAAACACACATTTACACACTCAAGTCATTTATCTTGTCAATAATGCCATTTTTCTAGGTTATTCTCATCATGAGGAAAATGTCTTCAGTTGCATGAAAGGAGATTCATGATCCAGTGTAATATATATATTACACTGGATCATGAATTTTAATATATATATTATATTATATATATATAGTAATTAACTGCCTGTTGTGATTCCTCCAACTTTATTCAACTGTAGCTCTAAATCAGCGGAGAAATAACAAAGTTCTGCTAAACAAAGTTAATTTATTTATTGTATCTATTCGAAAGCTTTACCATATAACCTCCTAAGTATTGACTCGTCATGTATAGAAACAATGAAAATAAATGGAGCCGAGCTTTAAAAACAAATGGTTCATGTATTTGAAGTCACACACAAAGAAGCGTCCATAACAAATGAAAAGAAGAAACGGCACAGAGAGTTCTGAAAATAACTAAAAGGCCTTTAGTATTGGTATGAAAGCTGAACACTCATGAAAAACAAGATTGTGTGTCAACCATGCAAAGCCTTTTAATTATACACAGCACAGAGGGGGCCTTCAAATCTGTGGGAAGTAAACATGACTTGATTTTTTAAGGGGACTTTCAGCAAAGTACTTTAGTAGCCGCTGCCCGAATGCTTGTGCACGGACTCTTTTACTAACTAGCCAAAATGACCTCTAGGCTCAACACATGGAAACTGTGGTTGCAGTTTGCCAGAGGGAACCGGGGGAAACAGTCAATGAAAAGGATGTTTTGGCTTTGGAGTCAGTTGACATCTTTCTTTTACCCCTCCTCTTTCTCCCTCCTGCTCTTCGCTCTCGTCTGCTGGTTGGAATCTGTAATTTGAAAAGCCCAAGGGAAATACCGAGGATATTCACATTTCAATTTCTTCTGCTGCCGTCATGTTCTCCAGTGAAATACTGTATGTTCTGGTTTCAAAAGTATAGACTTTGAAACTTTTGATCTCTTGCTTCACTCTTGTGCGTTGCTCCCACTTTGAGAAAACAACTCCACAGAGCCTCTGACAAACAATAAAGCATTTAAAAATTACAACTATAAGAAAAGCTGTTTGAAGAGAGTTGAAACTCAACTTCCCCCCCACAAAAAAACCCAAATTATTATTAAATCAGCCTCAAAGGAAGTATACATTGAGACAGAAAAGGAGGTCAAGTACATAACTTCATAGGACTTTTCTCCTTATTTTGTCCCAAGGACCTTAACTCCCCCTAAGCTCCTCCTCCCTGCCCCTCGGCCTTGTGGGTCCTGTCTCTGCTGATCAGGCCGCTCTGACTGGAAAAGCCTCTCGGGGGAATTTAACACAGCCGCCCAGCGCTGCCTTTCATGTGGTCTCCGCGCAATCCCTTTTATCTCTCAGCTACGCGCTTTACGACTCAGCGGCAGAGGAGAGAAAGAAGAAAAACCCTGCAAGTCCAGACCTGGTGTGGCGAGTATGAATACCACAGAAGCATTCTTGTGACAAAGGCGTTCAGAGGAACAACTTGTGAATTATATCGCTTAACAGCGAGGATAGGGAGCAATGTCTGGATGCTTGTAACAACAAATGCACTTTGTTCCTACTGTAGCCCATGTGAGCGCCAAAATGTGCACAGATCCGTGGTCTCGGGGGATGAGGTAATGTTTGCTACCTGTACAATTATGAGCTCAACAGAGTTTGGTCATGGTCTAGTGAAAGCTGAACCTGGATAAACCATTTGAGAGAGATGATAGAAAGATCATTGTTTGTACAAAACAGCACACGCACATGCTGCCAGACAGAAGGGCAGGGCAGGCCGACACGCAGAAAGGCAGTGCATGTTTTCAGTGTTGTTGAAAAGTGTGTGAAGGCCTGGGTAATTTTAGGTGTGTACGAACCTGGTCGATGGCATCCGGATTCTCCGACACATCAAAGATGACGGCGGTGGCTCCCCGCTGCACGGCTCTCTTCGCCTGCACACACAGAACAAACATGAATCATTAGATGCATTCAACAAGAGTTCAAAGGGAAACGCTAGGGAAGGTATGATCGCAATGTGGAGATGTTAACATTCAGCCCACTAGGGGGAGTTCTCTGCCTAAGTGTAGATCATCGGGAATGAGCGAATGAGATGGAAAACAAACAGAAGTAAACAAGCTATTGATAACATTTGCTACAGGCACATATGGTCCATTTCTCTGAAGTCTTCATGGTGTAACATCTGCATCACATCAAGCTAATAGCATGACACAAACTAACACAGAGTCAAATGTGATGCAAATGTGCGTGACATGGAGTTAAAGTCATATTGAGGTCTGCTGTGCGCACTCAAGAAAGTTGAATAAAGTTTTCCAACAGCAACAAAAAAAAGTGAGCTTCTTTCATGTGAGAGCAGGGAGAGACATAGCACAGAGGTCTTTTGAAGACTTCTGCTAAAGGCAAAGGATAAGGGAAACGCTTAGATGTGCAGAAGTATCTCCATGCAGAATCCAAATTGGCTCCCCTTGTTTGAAAAAAAATACAGAAAACTTTATCTTAGCTGCTGCTTCTCTCCCCTACGACTGCTTTTGATTCACGGCGCCCTATTTAGACACCGTTTTGATGTCTGCACTACACGATCTAAAATAGCGGGGCTGGGATCATATCCTGGTATTATCAAGTGCCCTTGGGTTCTTGCCAGTCCGCCTCATAACTAGAAGGAAGAGAAGTGGGGTGGGGGGGGGTGAAGATCAAAGTGACAATGTACATTGCTGTGACTTTGCTGCCGAGTGGCTGGAGAGTGTCATCGCTGGGCCCTGACAGAGGACACAGAGAGGGGAGGGGGTTTACTGGTGTGTGCGGGGGAGGCGCAATGGCTTTTTTCATAACATGTTGATCTCTGAGGTAACATGACTCAACAATGACACGTTGAGCATGTTTTCTACATCTTTTGCCACGGTGTACACAGAAAAGACTCCTAGGTGTTAGTCTACCATTAGCTGCCAGATCAGCTTCACTGCTCCTCTAGTGTTTACATGGAGGCAACGGGGAGATAACGTGTCAGTCCAAAATGTGTTGGCTCACAATCTTTTAATGGGTTCTGGTGACAGAGAAAGCCACAGCAAGTTACACTACCTATTATTCACATTGTCAGACAGCCACATGTCCGTCATTACCTTTTATTACGTTTTAGTTTCTGGCTTTCATTTTGCTGATAGATATTGGATCTGTAAAATTGCCACCTACCGCCCTGTGTTTGGAAAGTGACAGGTCGTTTTGACTGATCAACTTCAAATACGTAATTAAATATAAGAACAGAAAATCCACCATGTCTGTCCAAAAAGTTGTACCGGTAATTCTGATCCTTTTAGACATTTGTGTGACTTTGTCATAATATAGCATATGCCTCATGTTCTGGCTAAAAATGTGTTTTTGTGAAGTGACTGCAAATCAGTTTATTCTCGATTCCAAGTGGATTTTCACGGCAAATATTATATAATTTGTTTCCTCACGGCATTCCTGCAATATCGCTTTGTAGAGAATGGTACAGATTAATGGACATATGGAGGAACAACCAGAATACATAAAGCCTCCAGCTATGGCTATACTCATCACAGAGGCATAACATTAACTCAATTGATTTGAATGATGTATCAGTAATATTTTAAAGACTGTCATAGAACGTGATGTATTAAATAATCCTGTTTCTTTTTACCATTTACCTGCAGTTTGGGTAAATATGATTCTGCCACTTTTTCAGCTGTGTTAGTACATGTCCAGCTGTTTGAAACTTATCAAAGTGCTAATTTCTTGTGCAGCTGAGGAAGTGTGATATGATCAAGATTTGTAACTGTACATTTCATTTTTCCTTTTGATGGGTTGCAACATCATTTCCATACTCCATTTGTGTATTATGAGTCCTTAGAAAGATGTTATTTATTAAATATTTCTGTCCAAGAAGTAGCATGATGAGCTAGTTATCCATAGCAAGAAATAGCCCTAGAGGTGTTTGCTGTCTCCAGAATCAACAACTGTCAATAATGATTCTAAATATAGAATATGTTCAATTTTGTTCAACTAGCAACACACGTGCGTGGGTGTTCATCACTTCAGGTACTTTTGGTGGGACAACTTCTTCATGGACAAGTCGCAGCAGGAGAAAAAAAAGAAGCCAAGTAACAAAAGGCCTTTGATGTCAGGGGTGGCATGTGTACCACAACTTTAAAATAAGCTTCAGGGAAATGTAAACACATCATGACTCTGAAGTATGTGTGCTACGTTAGAATTAGAGTCCCCCTCGGTTTAATCCACATACAAGATGTTTATAAATGTGACTTTCATAGCTCATTAAAGACTAATCAACCCTGCGAACGGATTCAATCTTTCCCAGCAGTGTATGAAAGCCTTGTCAAACAGTGAAACATTAAAACAGTGTTGAGCTATAAACACAAACTCTTCCAACTTTCTCTTTCGTCCTGCCTCCTTTACATAAACTAACATCGCTCTTTTCTTTCTTCTTTCACTTCTTCTTCTACTCGGAAAGTTCAAAAGCAACGGGAGCGAATATCTTGCTCGGCTTTTCCCTCTCACCCAGTTTTTCTCTCAGCTCCACACTGCCAGGCTCCAGCCCCCATTTAATTCAGCACAAGTCTGCTCCTTTGATGTTAGCTCTCCCAGTAAATAATTAATAGCTCTTGGTAAGACGCTTCAAGAAGAAAGAGATCTCCCTCCGAAAGAATCTCCACTCGGGGCAGGCCTGCGCTGCAGTGCAGGGACTTGCCTGACGACAACAAAAATGCCCCCACAGGCAAACTGGTTCTCTTAAAAACACGACACATCTCCTTCCCAACTCCATACAAAACGACAACCCTGGACACCAAAGGCAGGGTATTGCTTTGTGATAGGTAATGTACATTCTTCAGACTTTGTGATGTTGCTGAAAAGTGAACAGTTTAAAGTTTAAACGGTTTACTTCACTGACTCAAACTGGCTGCAGAATGTCAAATGGCAGAGTTCTTGTATACTAAGTAAAAAGGTTAAGACAATTCCATCCTCTGCAGCAAACTTAAAAAAAACAAAGATCAATTAGACGCTAAAGACTTTCATTCACACCAGTTTCATATAGATTTAACAGGAATTTCAAGAGAGTCTTAGATTACATACGAGGGGCAGATTTTGATCATTTAAGGGATCCAATATTACAAGCTGTGGTGTAATGTAACCAAGTACTCTACTTTAGATACAAATGGAGGTACTTGTACTTTACTTGAGTATTTTCACATAACTTTATACTTTTACTGCACTACATTTTGTGGGCAAATGTACAAATAGTTCCAATACCGAGGGTTGCAAGATACTTGCAACCCTCGGTATTGGAACTACCAAACTTTATACAAAGTAATTCAAACTAGCTCTGCCTCCATCAGCTACAACAGTATATGTATTTGTTCAAATGCAACATTCAGATGATGTCATTTATCATACTATATCCCTCACTGCAGCCATGTAACTGCAGTGAGGGATATGATGAATACTTTTTTACTTGTTGAGAGCATTAATTAATATAATTGAATTATAATGATGTACTCAAAGCTTAGTCATCACCGTCTGTTGTAATTGATTAGTAGAAAAAAAAAGTAAATTGTTCAGCCAAGTAGTAGGATTCAAACTTTATTCAACATCCCCCTTAAAAGAAATTGAAGGTGCAATCTCTCAGAAGTAAAAGGCAAATGGAAGTACGACGAAGGCAAGAGTCATTGACCTTCTCCTCACATCCTACGATAATTGCTCATAAGTAAGTTGAACTCTCCACCTGAACTGCAGGCTCTGGGCTGGGGTGGGGGTGTGGGGGTGTTCCCAGGTACTTTACAAGACTGCTGGCTAAACACACTTCCTGCTGGCTCCGAGGCACGAGAATTAGGAGTACAATCTTCCCTGGGTGAAGGAAAAACCACAGCAGAAAGTACTGAGAACCCAGTCTAGACACTAGGAAAATGAAAGCTATGTTTAGCATCCCGGAGTAAGCCTGCCAGCTTGTAAGATCTGAGGCAGAGGAATTCTCACTCGACTGGAAAGAGACTTTTTCTCAGTGCGGCGCTCACTCCATCGTGGCTGGAGGATTCTTATATTATCACATCAGGGCACCTCTCCATACGCAGGGGACACCGGAGGTTATCTGCAGACGCCGGGTGCACCTGGATTACACCTGCAACATCTGGCTCACACATAGTTCCTCCATCACATCACTCTTCTTCTTCTCTGATTCCCTCCTTCCTCGTGGCTCCTCCTCCTCCTCTTCATGCTTTCCTTTCCCTCTCTCTCTTGCTCTGCACTGCTATAATTAAGGCAATTAAGTCTTCAGAAGACTCTGCACTGCTATTATGCTGTAATTTCATGTTGCCTCCTGGCTTTACGGTTTATTAAAAGATAAAGGCATACTTTTCTCCCATGGATTTTCTTATATGTGGTCCCCCTTTTTTTTCTTCTCTCCTTCCTCACTCGCTCTCAGTGCAGGCATGTGTGCCAAGACATTATTTACATTCAACTAAAATAAAATGAAGTTCTCAACGTGGCTGTGCGTCATCTGATTGGAAGCTCGTGCAGCCCGGGGAAGTTTGAAGCGACTGTACAAATTGTACTTTTTGCACATGAAGTCATCTGTGTTATCTTGACATCTTCATCAACAGGATTTAGTCATTTCACGAAGCACATTACTCATCATCCTCCTGGTATCCTACCGTTTGATGTTAACACTTGGCTGACAGACTGGTAATCTGTCATAACATTTTACTCTGTTTACAGATACTTGACATAATCGTATTGGCTCTGTTAGTTATAATCAACTGGTTTCACACCCTCGCCCTGCTGGAGCTGCTACCTGCTGTGTCACGAAAACTTGCAAAATTCTTGTTCCCACATAAACACTGTCCTGAAACCATTTACAATGTGAACTGAAATAACCTTGTTGAGCTTAATCCTTCCAATAACTTTTTCA